TTGGCCTTCTTGCATGATTCACAAATGTTTCTAATGGCATATAATAGAATGCTAGATTCTTTCAAGAAGGTTTTCAATTTGCTTTTCCCAGTTCCATCAGAGGAATCACTGTATATAGCAGATATGGCTTTATAAAATGCATTTCTTAAATAATAAGACTTGAAAGTAAAATTTACTCCTTCATCCATGGACTGAAGAATGGATGTTGTGTTAGCAGTCATAGAAACAACATTAATCTCCTTGTACATCTCCATCAGAGCTCTTAGGTGACCAGGTAGATTGTCGATGAGCACCAATATTTTGAAAGGAATCTTTTTTTCTGAGTAGTGGGTCTCAACACTGGGCTTAGAATATTCAGTAGCCATGCTGTAAGTAGATTTGCTATCATGCATACTTTCTTGTTCCATTTATAGAGCAAAGGCAGTGAAGTTTTTAGCATATTTCTTAAAAGCCCTAGGATTTTCAGAATGGTAAATGATCATTGGCTTCAACTTAAAGTCACCAGCTGCATTAGCCCCTAACAAAGAGAGTCAGCTTGTCGTTTGAAGCTTTGAAGCCAGACATTGACTTTTCCTCTCTAGCTATGAAAGTCCTAGGTGGCATCTTCTTCCAACAGAAGGATGGTTTGTCTATATTGAAAGTCTGTTGGTCATTATAACCACCTTCACCAATTATCTTAGCTAGATCTGGATGACTTGCTGCAGCTTCCTCATCATCACTTGCTGCTTTACCTTGCACTTTTATGTTGGATATGGCTTCTTTCCTTATACCTCATGAACCAACTTCTGCTAGCTTCAAACCTTTTTCTACAGTTTCTTCACCTCTCTCAGCCTTCATAGAATTGAAGAGAGTTAAGACCTTGCTCTGAATTAGGCTTTGGGTTAAGGAAATCTTGTGGTTGGTTTGATCTATCTGGACCACCAAAACGTTCTCCATATCAGTAATAAAGCTATTTTACTCTCTTATCATTCATGTGTTCACTGGAGCAGCACTTTTAATTTCCTTTAAGAACTTTTCTTTTGCATTCACAACATGGCTAACTGGCCAAGAGGCATAGCTTTTGGTCTATCATGGCTTTTGTTATGCCTTCCTCACTAAGCTTAATCATTTCTAACTTTTGATTTAAAGTGAGAGACGTGCAACTCTTCCTTTCCCTTGAACACTGAAAGGTGTTATTAATTGACCTAATGTCAACATTGTTATGTCTCAGGGAAGAGGGAAGCCCAAGGAGAAGAGGAAACATGGAAGAATGGCCAGTGAGTGGAGCAGTCAGAACACACACAACAGTTTTATCAATTAAGTTCACTCTCTTCTGTGGGTTCAGTTTGTGGTGCTCCAACACAATTACAGTATTAACATCAAAGATCACTCATCTCCAGATCACCATTAACATATATAATAATAATGAAAGTTTGAAATATTGCAAGAATTACCAAAATGTGACAGAAAGACATGAAGCGAGCACATGCTGTTGGAAAAATGGAGGCAATAGACTTGCTTGACACAGGGTTGCCACAAACCTTCAATTTGTAAAAAATGCAATATCTGTGAAGCACAATAAAATGAGGTATGCCTATACCAATTTCTGGGAGCTTTGTTGGTTTCTCCACAGCTAGGGCACAGGCCCTGCACTTGCAAAGCTTGAGAGTGTCATTTTCTTTTCATAGTCGGGAAGAGAATAAAGGTCCCATCTGTGCACCAGGTGGTCATGGTAAGAGTGAGCACAGTAACTAGCACCAGTGTGTGCATCTTGGTGGCAGATGTGGTGCTGGCTCAGTACGTATTCACCTTGAGGAGGAATATGGGACAAAAGACCAAGATCATCAAGATCCTTGTAACCAGGCCTTGTATCTCTGGGTATTGTTTGCCATCCTAAGACAAAATCAAATACAAAAGAACTCAGAATGCCTTAAAGAAGATCAGATAACTAAGAAATGACTCATCAAAATCTGCTGTACATGTAAAAATGATCTCAGAATTCCAGATTTCCAGATAAGATCACTTTGCATAAAGAACTGTGGCTTTATCAAAGGAGAAGCTGCCAAACTTCAGATAATAATGGACTTTGATATGATACTAAGTAGATTTTCTAAAAAAGGGGAAAAGATGCTTAATGTGTCAAAATATCATTGAAAATTATAAACCAGTCACAGGAGAATGTCAAAAAAGTTATTGCAACTAGAGGAAAACTATGATGCTATTGAAGTAGATTCTGTTCTTACCATGGAAGAACCCTTTTATGTCAGAATAGTATGCTAACTTACATAGTTTCTTTGATGAACATCCTTTACCAAAAGCTAAATTTGAGAAAACTGTGGAAGAATCTGATGTTATGGTCAAGGAAGGATATAGGAATTTACTTGAGAAGCTCCAACAACACAGTATCCTTGTGTTCGTATTTTCAGTGTATATTGGTGCTGTACTAGAAGAGGTTTTCAGTCAAGCTGGTGTTTATCATCCAGATGTCAAAGCAGTGTTCATTCATGGACTGTGATGAAAATGGGTGCTCAAAGGATTTGAAGGAGAATTAATTCATGCACTTAACAAACATGATATTGCCTTGAAGTACACAAAATATTTCAATCAATTAAAAGACAATAACAACAGAATTCTGCTAAGAAACTCCCAAGGAGACTTAAAAAGAACAGATGGAATTACCAAACTTTCTCATTCTGAAATTAGATATCTAAATTATAGAGTGGATAAACTTTCAGAAAAATATTCTTTTATCAAAAGATGAATCATTGGAAGTAGCCAACTCTGTCTTACAGAGGATTCTATAAACAAGTATTCTTCAGGCTGTTCTGTCCTATTGAAACAATTGAGGCAAGAACCCTTCATCTCTTTGTCCTGCTGACTCTTATTTATAATACATTTTTGGTCTTGAAGTTTTTCCTTTGCATATTTAAGTATTTTCAGACATGTGGAATCCATCAACTGGAAGCTGCATTTTCTTCACCTATCTTACCATGCTCCCCCCATTACCTTTTTTAAAACAGATTTAAAAAAATTTTTTTAAACCTCATGAAGTCAAAATTAGAAAAATAACTCCCTACTTTTCCAAAGTAGCCTTTGTAGTTTAATTTTATCAGGCATTAGTTTGTGGAGTCTTTTTATCCTGGGAATGTTCATAGAAGCCTAAAAAGAAGTTTTATGAAATGACCAAATAATTTTCATAATTTTAAGTATTGCCATGTTTGTAATTTGTAATTGTGCTGATGGTATCATGATCCCCTGAAACAGTACTATCTGTGCTTATTTTGTTTGGGGAAAATCAATATTGAACAGAAAAGCCTGGGACTTTGTATTTGGGGAAAAACTATTGGTGTCTGCATATCACAAATCATTACAAAATGGTCTATCTTGACTCACATAATAAACATGCAATGGAAAATATTTATTTTTAAATACCCATTTTCTTTAAAGGGATAGCACTTACAACCATTTATACCTTAGCATAAATTAATATATCCCATTCTGTCTTTCAAACATACTATGAAGAGATACAAAATAAAGACATCAAGCTCTAAAAGTTAAGCAGTTAAGGAGACACTATATTGAGCAAAAAAAAAAAAAAAAAGAAAAACTCTATAAAGTTATCCAGAACAAACTGCCTCCTTCATAATTTTACATAAATCCAGGCTTGGTCCCAATAGCTCTTTAATCATTTGTTGCTCTTTGTCAATCAAATTCCTGGTTAATGGCTTAACCATTAAAAATGGTCACCAAAAAGGCTTCGTCTACCATCATCTGTAGTCCTTGGTAGTCTGTCTAGAACAAAGAAATTAGTCAAGATCATGTGTGCAGGATCAAAGAATTATATTGAAGATAAGAACATGTCCCTAACCTAGTCAGACTCAAAACAACTAAACATAAAACCACCCTTACCTCTGAGGTGACATCAAATGGAAGTAGGTATGACAATTATCCTGTAAGCAAGCTCTAGAAAGCATTGATCACACCTCTTCTGGAGGGCTCAGTCCCATAACTTTGTCAGCAGCTGCAGCTGCTGCTGCCATCTAGGGAGAAACCGAGAAGGGGCATTGGGGTAAGAGATGTGTGTGTGTGTGTGTGTGTGTGTGTGTGTGTGTGTGTGTGTATTTGTTTTGTTATATTTTGGTTTTGTTCATTTGTTTTGGTCTTGACACACAGGAAAGCATTCAACTGGGAAAATCATCGTGTAAGCTAATGCTTTAAATAAATGGGTGTAGTATCTTTCTATTGATTGCAACCATCTACTACTATAGCTATTTTACTTTACATTATGCTGCAGGCCTTTTATCAAATACAGATTTGTGGGGCCTGCCAACAAGTGGGTCTTACTTGCCAGAGGTGGAGCAATGAACAAAATGAGTTGATAGATCTATTTCAAAAGCCATGTGTGCTGCCTGAGTTTGCTGCCATCAATTCAAAGGAAAAGTTTTCGTCTAAATGCCTCAAAAGGACTCATTAAGCAGCTAACAAAGCCTGTGAACATAGAGGCCTGATAACAGCTGACATATTTCAGTTTTCACAGTTGAGCAAGAGTATGAGCTGTCCCACAAGTACAAAGTATTTTCTTCCCTCATGCATGTTCTACCAGGGTCTTCAAATCCTCTTGGCACTTTTTCTTGACTAAAGGCCTCCATAACACACATGGGCTTTCATTTTCTCCCATTCTTTTGGCTCATCTATAGAATGGGTATGAGAATAGTTAAAATACCCTCTCTATTGCTGGAGGAACCTCTCCTAGTGTTTTTCTAACAGTTTTTTTTTTTCCTGCTTCTAGGTGGCTATAATTAAATGTCCCTTTTAGAGACATCTGGGCCACAAGCATCCTCTCGACTCTCACTATATTTGGGGAGATTCTAGCGTAAAACTGCAGAATATTTCGATGATCTTGCTTTAAGTATTCATTAATATCTTTTTATATAATTATTAAATGCAATTAACAGTCAAGGAGAGATAATAGAGTAACTAGACATGTAGAGATTGACTCTTTCCATATCTTCTTCCTTTAGCGGTTTCGTGGACACCCAGTGAAATGCACAGCTCATTCCCCTCAGGCACAGGCTCAGCACTCTACGGTGAGTAGCTGTGGGAATTTGCAGACATGGAAGGTAGTGGTTTGCTTATTTGGGCAGACGTGGGAAAACAAGAACTGATAAGAAGCCAATCTCAGATACGTATTCAAAAGTGCATCTTGATGATGACAATACATGGAAACAAAATTCTTCTAAGCGATTCAAAGAAGATTAGAGGCTGTCTTAGATTTTTCTCTATTTTGTTTCAAAAGGAAATCTACACAATAGCAGTCACATCTACGAAAAATACATTTCAATTTTTACCTTTCTATTGGAAAATAGAATGATTAGTCAACATAGGTTTATCTAGTCTAATGCTGCAAAGGAATTTTTATTAACCTTATCAAACACATGGGGGTGAGGAGATTCAGTATTTTAGTCAGCTGAACCTCTGACAGCCTGAGAAAGTAGTGGTAGGGTTTCTCTATCCATGACCCCATCTTATGGCATTTTCTCAAAACACTTAAGTTTCTCATGGAGACTCTTTAGCAGATATTGTTTTGTTGTTTGGAAGTGTGCAACTTTTTTTTCTTTAAACCAATAAGAAATTTCACTTCTTTGGTAGTTATTAGATCCCAGGATTCCAGCCTTGCTATAAATTGGTCCATAGTAAACTTTACACACAATATTTTAGGGATATTCAGACCAATTAAACTCAGTTTCCTCTAATAGCACATGAAACCCAATCATGATTTTATACCACTTAATCACTTGAGATGGCTATTAGAACCAGTTCAGATATATTCTTTCTATCCCTAGATGACGTTTTTACCAGTACAACTACAGCATTTTCAGAAGTCCCCACAATTATCAATGGATCTACTAAAAAGAATCATGTCCACATCACTGGTGAGTCATTTGCCATATTTTTTGGATTTTATGTTTTGTTTAATCAATAAATATTTATGGAGTACCTACTATTTGCTAAGCACTGTGTAGCTGTGGGTATATAGTGAAGACACTGGCTTCCTGAAAATTATAATCTATTAGAGATTATATATAATAAATAAGTAATCACACAATTAAATTTATTTATGACAAGTATTCTAAGGAATTGCTAGAGTCTAATAGAAAGAACTGATTTTGATTGAAGATCAAGAAAGGACTCCCTGAGGATATGATATTTAAATTAAAACCTGAAAAATGAATAAGAATTAGCCAGCTAAATGCTGGCAAGAAACATTTTAGGCCTGTGAAAATATATTCTGAGAAAGAGACTCAGATTCATTGGAACAAAGAGTATATGTGTAATTCAACTAATAAAATTTTGGCCAGGTGCGGTGGCTCATGCCTGTAATCCTAGCACTCTGGGAGGCCGAGGTGGGTGGATCACTCAAGGTCAGGAGTTCGAAACCAGCCTGAGCAAAAGTGAGACCCTGTCTCTACTATAAATAGAAACAAATTAATTGGCCAACTAAAAATATATAGAAAAAAATTAGCCGGACATGGTGGCTGAGGCAGAAGAATTGCTTGAGCCCAGGAGTGTGAGGTTGCTGTGAGCTAAGCTGATGCCACAGCACTCTAGCTCAGGCAACAGAGTAAGACTCTGTCTCAAAAACAAAACAAAACAAAAAAAACTAATAAAATTTTGTCAATAAAAATTATAATCCCTTATTTTATATCATAAGAAAGCAAGAGATTCAATAAAGTTAGGACCCTCTCAATGCAGGTTATAACTGTACGTTCACAGGCATAATCAACTCCAGGAGTGCTCACTTGGCTATTGAACTCTCCACGTGGGCACATGCTTATTTCATATCAAAGGTCATTCGATCTTTCCATCAGTGGAGCATCATCCTGCATATACTATAACAACAGAGCTGCAAACTGAGGCACTATCAATATTTTAAGGTATCAGTGCCTTAAAGAACTGTGTAATTTAGAGATGAGTCAAGATTTGAGCTTTGCTTTTCCACTTAGATATTCCTGAAAGCAATGGTCTCATTTTCTGTATATATTTGGTTGGAAGATAATTTGTAGGCATTTATGTAAAACCTACTTACAACCTTTTGTTCTTTTATTTCTCTAAAACTTTGGAGGTAAAATGTTATATTCCACCATATTGCCAATGTGGAGCCTGGTAAATTTTGACTTGACTAAAATAGAATGCAGTCCTGAGTTGACCATCTGTGCAATTGCTTCTTTTATGATCATGCTACTCTAGTGGTTTAAACTACTGTGAACTCTCTAGCCATCTGTATATACAAAATACCACTTGGTTGTGTATTATATAGAACAACATGAGCTTCCAGGGAGTCTCCAGTGTCTACTTCAACAGAGTTGAGGTAAAGTGAGCATCAGGAAGACCTTGAAGCCCTGGATATGTGTTGTATGAAAAGGAAAAATCTTCAGCACTTCTAATCAATGCTAACATGATAACAGTGTGGTAGCATCCCAAATTCAAGTTCAGGTACCCAAATGCACAGCTAAAACCAAATATTGTGACATTGCTGTTTGGAGACAGAGAAAGGTTTATTCAATTTGGCCAAAGAGAGAAGATAGGAGAGAAAAATCTCTTAGATCTGCCTTGTCACAGAGATGAGGTAGTGAGCTTCTATGCAGGGTGGAGGTAAAGTAGGGGGAAGTCTGTGCTGCTTTTAGTCTCAGATAACACCTTGAGTAACCAGACTTCTGGGCCTCACCAGCTAGTTGCAACTTTCATGCGCATTCACTCCTTCTGCAGAACAAACACCTAGATTCTTCTCATGACCCTGGAGTTACCTATCTCCACCTCTTCACAAAGACACCATGCGTCAGCAGTTAATAATTGCTGTGAGGACGTCAGCAGTTAATAATTGCTGTGAGGACGAGGGATGCTGGGCAGGAAGCAAGCAATTAACATGTACCAACAACCAAGGGCCTAGTCCTCTTTTACATTATTTCAGTCATTAAAAATACTGATGTACTAAAATCTCCAAGGGTCCAACTATAATGACACACAGCTGCAGTCCAAACTACATAAAATATAGAAAAGATTTGATAGTTAATCTTAAGCTATTTATTTCGAGTTAATAAAAAAAGATTTAGTAACTAATATTTTAAATCCAGTTCTTTAGCATTCATTTCTTGAGATTTTCCTGTTTGAAAAATTATGTAATAAAAACTGGGCAATAAAACAAATTAAAAACCTTGTATCTACCTACACGCAGTTTACTATCTAGTTGAAACAATGAAAGAATACCAACCTAGATGACTTTTTTCCCAAATGATTCAAGTAATCTAAATATTTAAATATATATTTTTAATATATAAGGAATCTCATTGGAGTATTGTCAGAAATAATAAAAGCCTGGAAACTACTTAACCATCTAACATTATGGACCGATTAAATACACTTGGTAAATCCATTGAACTATCTATTAAATGATAGAATAGAATGTCATTTAATAGAATGAAGTAAATCTCCATGCACACTATGGAAAGCTACCAAGAATGTTTTTTTAAGAAAAGGAAGCTTCGAAACCAGCCTGAGCAAGAATAAGACCCCGTCTCTACTATAAATAGAAAGAAATTAATTGGCCAACTAATATATATAGAAAAAATTATCCTGGCATGGTGGCGCATGCCTGTGGTCCCAGCTACTTGGGAGGCTGAGGCAGGAGGATTGCTTGAGTCCAGGAGTTTGAGGTTGCTGTGAACTAGGCTGACGCCACAGCACTCACTCTAGCCTGGGCAACAAAGCAAGACTCTGTCTCAAAAAAAAAAAAAAAAAGAAAAGAAAAGGAACAAAGGGATAGAAGAGTGTATATAGTATGCCCATATTTGTAATAAAAGAGATATATATTCATGATTCATATATATGCTTATATATCCATAGAAAATATCTGATAGGATACATAATTAACTATTGAAAGTCATTGCCCCTTGTGTGGGTGACAAGGCAGAGACGTCCCCCAGAGTATGACTATAGCCAATGTGCACTCCATGGCCCTTGGAGAAAATATGTTCCAGGTAGGAGAAATGGTTCAATTAATCCTGTTTTCCAAATGCCAAAGTTTGACATTAAAGTTCATCTCTCTTTTCGCCCTTTTCAGGTACCGTGGTTAATAAGCCTAAAGACGGAATGTCCTGGCCAGTGATTGTAGCAGCTTTACTCTTTCCCTGCGTAGTATTGTTTGGTATTGGAGTGAGAAAATGGTGTCAATACCAAAAAGAAATGTGAGTATAATACTTAGATATGTAGAAACTGATAATTTTGCACTACAAAATAGTTACCAGCACAATATATTACTACTATGTGGAACTCTACAGAGTAATATTACTATGACTATGCTGATAAATATATTATTTATGTATTAGGGTACTGATAAATATTTCTGTGAGGACATAAGGCTCACAGAAGCTCAGAGAGGCTAGGTAGCTTTCCCAGCATCACACAGCCAGGTTAAGTACACAGCTCCAGACTCAGCATCCTCTCTGCGTTGGCCTGGTCAGGCTGGAGCACCTATCGGATAGAGCGAGTCCATAGGCATGAAATGGGAACCTGATCTCACCTCAACTCAAAACTAAAATGGATTTTTTTATTTTAATCTTCATTATTTTTTCATTTTCATGCATCTTTGAACTACCTGGGCTCAGCTGGGCCTAGATGCTCAAGTGTGAAATTGAGTGAGAAAGGTAATTTTAAGAGATTTCTGGCTGCTTTTTATACAGTGGGCTTTTACTGCCCTTTTCCTTTTTCCCTGAGCAGAAAAGAAAGTAAATTTTTGTGGGGTTACCTTTTTCATTTGTTTGTTTTACTGAAATACTTTCCAAAATTCTTCTCCAATCAGCAGTCTGAAATGACATGTAAGGTTAAGCCTCACTTTCTGATTTGATATTTGGGCTCCATCTGGATCAGGTCACGAGTGGAGGAGACACAGGAGCTAATCTTCCACGTATCTTACTACCAAGATAACACTGAGCATTGTGCCCTATGAGCTTTCCTAAGAGTATCCTTGAAGACACTACAACCACATGCAGGGAGTGTTTCATGGTGAATAAAATACAAACCAGTAGTCAGAAATCCTGGGATCCTATCCAAGGACTACATCTTAGCTACCACATGATTTTGAGAAATTCATAACTTTTCTAAAACTTAAAAGTTCATATTTCTTAAAATTGTATCCACCTCTTGATGTATGTTAATTCTCCCTTAAAGCATCCAAAAATTGGGTAATAGGGGTTGAAGATCTTCATATTAAAATGAGCAAATGAGTATCTGGAAATCTGGATGTTTTTAATTGTTCTGCATTCAAATATCTGTGTCATATGGAGATGACAAGAACCCCCCGATACACCACATTACCACATTAAGATGCTATGGATTGCCAGGGCATAGAAGTGTTTGAGTGATGGACATAAAAGATGCTCACAGATATATTTCTGTTTCCTAATATTGAGATAACTGTAGCATTTGTATAGCTAAATCCTACATTAACTTACCTTCTTGATACATTTCAGACAAAGAGATGAATTGTGCTAACATAAAACAGTGCTTCATACAAAGATGACTACAAGAATGTTCACTGACTCAAAGAAAAGGGATTTAGGCATTATCCAGCCAATACTCAGGGATTGAGAAGAGCTTTACTTTCCACCTCTGTGGTATCTCCACAGTACTCAACGAGTGTGTGGGTAAAGATCGGGTAGGGTTAGAGAAGGTTCTATGTGAAAAGCTTCAGTCTTAAGTCCCAGAATGTTAAGATTTTTGTCTCTGGAGAAATGTTTTAGTTCACATAAGAGAAATACTACTTCTATTAGGAAGCAGTTGCCATGGAGAGTATCAGTCCTGGTTAATAGACTTCAATTGCTGGTCTGGTTCTCTTGAGTAAGAAGTTTAAAGCCTCTGAGCGTCCGTTTTAGTGGTAGAATGATGACAGTAATACCCAGTTCCTAGACACAAAATAAACAATATTATGATACAAATGTTTTGCAAATTGGAAAGTACCATATAAATGTTAATAAACAGTATGATCATGATATTCGAATGGCTGATAACACTAACAAGCAATGGGTTAAGCCAGCAAAAAAATTCTGAAAGAACTAAGAGGGTGTGTCTCTTTCTCACCAATCTGTCTTCCCCTTAAAAAAAAAAAAAAGTGAAGAAATATGACTCCCTCACATTCTTAGCATTCAAAGAGCAATGTTTTGTTCCTAGCATGGAGAGACCCCCACCTTTCAAGCCACCACCACCTCCCATCAAGTACACTTGCATTCAGGAGCCCATTGGAAGTGACCTGCCTTGTCATGAGATGGAGACTCTCTAGTCCTGTGAGGCTTACCACACAGCAGCACTGTGCTGGAATTCTATCGAGAAGGTGGATACAGTGCTTTCTTAATATAAGTTCCCTCAGCCAAGCCTCTGCTGCAGCTGAAATGGATGTTACAAATGAATGAACTGTCTTCTCAGCAATTTGCCCTCTTTCATCTGTATATGCCTGAAATTTAAACAAGAGTGAAAGGATATATCATGCTCACACCCAGTGCAATCTGTAAGGGTTTTCTTGCTTATGTAAGAGGTGCACATTAGGCTGTTGTCTTTGAAAAATACACAGTGTTTTCATGTTTCACTTTAATTCTCTGATTGATGAGACAATTATGGTTGCAAGCATATGCCCATACTAGATCCTCCACTTTTAAGGTCATCTGCCAATGTTCTAAACTATTTGCCCAAATTATGATAATTTCAGAGTTTTGTTGCATTGCTTCAGAAAATTATAAGAAGAAAATGTAAGAGTTCTAGCGCGAGTTCCAAGTAATGTGGAAGCATGGCTAGTCTTCACATTGAAATTCTGTTGTTTCTTTTCACTGAAGGAAAATAGAATACCTTATACAAGAACCACATTTGCATCCTTCATCCTTCCTCCCATCAGGGTCAGACCAGGCTCCTGTCACATGGACAAGGATGCAAAGGGATCATAAAGTTAACTAGCCAACAACCAGGTAGCCTGTAGATATAAGACTTCGCTGACCTCTAAAATCATATGAGCTAAGAGTGGTTTCATCCTCAGCTTTGCCTGTCTCTATATGTGTGTGTGCTCATCACACTAGTACCAAGCTGTTTTGTAAGTAAACAAGCAGCCTAACCCCAATTCAACCCATCTCATTTCAGTTATTCTCTTATTTATCTTGGGACTTTCCTGTTCATTCAACCTGCCTGTTTTGATCTGTCCTGAAACTGCTGAAGAGCCTCATCTCAGAGTAGCACTGATGAATTAACCCTGCTCCTACCAATCTTTTGCAAAACAGCTTAAGCAGAGTATAGAGGTGACAGAGAACAGACCTAGTCAGCCAGACGTGCTCTGTAATCAACAACAGTTTGTGAGTGAATAAATGACTGATCCCTCTTGTCCCCCTAAGCCTTCCCACACTCCCTGCCCCAGGAGGGAAGCACAGATGTTGTTGACAGATGTAATGATAGTCAAATTCTGTGTGCACTTTAGTCCCAGAAGGAACCTTTAGCTCATGTATAGCAACTCCTCCCTGATTATGCATGTGAATAACCTGAAGAGTTTGTCTTTTTTTTAAAATACAATGGCTGTCTCATTCCAGTTCAATTAAAGTGGAAGTCTGAGGAGTGAGGCACAGACATCAGCACTCTCAGATGGTTCGTGTGTTCTGCCAAAGTTGAGAACTGCTGAATCAGTGAGAGTTCCTTCTTATAGACCAGAATCTTGGATAGGCACGTACGTCTTGTGGGGGCCAGCCTCCAAGATGACCCGCAAAGCTTCTTGCCTCCTGCTGTTCACCTGGGTCCTGTGTGACCCAGGGCCAAGATTAGGGTGAGGTAAGCAATACACCTAGAGGACAAAATTTAAGGAGGTTTCACCCTCAGGGTCATGTACATGCAGACTCTTGTGAGTGCCGGTCCCATCCCTGCTATAGCCAATAAGATACAGTGGAAATGACCAAAGCTGGATCATAAAATACATTGTAGCTTCCACTTTGATCTCTCTTTGTTCCCTGGCTCTGAGGGAAGCCCACTGTCAGGCTGTGAGAATGCCCAGGCAGCCCTGCTGAGAGGTCCACCTGCCAAGGAACCGAGGCCTTCTGCTAACAAGCATCAACTTCCAGCCATGTAAGCGAGCTGTCTTGGAGGCAGATTGTGCAGATCCCAATCAAATCTTCAGATAACTGCAGCCTCATTTCATCTTTTGACTGGGATCTCACAAGAGCCAAAACCACCCACCTTAGTCTTTTCTAAATTTCTGACCCACAAATACTGTGAGATAATAAATGCTTATTGCTTAACACCACTGAGTTTGGGTATAATTTGTTACATTGCAATAGATAATTAATACAGCTTACTAAATGTAAAAATAAACTGTTTGCCTGCCTTAATTCTCCTTAATTCCTCATTGGTTCTCAAGAAACAAATACTAGCTTTGTATATATGAATGTGCTTTATGTGTTTAGTGATTTTTATTTAATACAACTAAATCATCAGTAATTTGTGTAAAAGGCATTGTGGTTTTACTTTACTATTTCATTAGGAGACATGAATGCAAGTAGAGGCATTGGAGTAAAAGGTGGCAGAATTAGAGATGTTTAGATTGTTTCGATAAAGGGAGAGACTTTTTACAGTACAACGTAAGTCCATGTAATTTTTCAATCTATCACATGGCACGTGTTTCACAATGTTTTTATATTAGCTCCTCTTTGAAGTACACTCTTTTAGTCTTGTAAATACGTTCTGGTCAGCATTTGTAAACTCATCTACCACTTGAATAGAGTAGTGGTTTATCCATGGAGGGATGCTCAGTCAGTGGGTCGGAGGAACTTTTCATAAACCTCCAAAATAGAGGGACACCAGGTAGGTGCCTTTTAGATAGTTCTGTAAGCTTGACATCTTTCATGTGACTAAAACGACAGTTTCACCTGCACCTTCAATTGTGCACAAGTAAATTCATAGCACCTGTCTCAACCAGCAACCTTTCTGTTTAGAAGTGGATTTAGTCCTGTCTCATAAGAGAAGTAGCAGTACTGGACTCTAATCCCTAAGGTTTCTGCATGTCATCACCACCTTCATTTTCACTGAGAACTCATACTTAAGTATTTTCATTACTCATTTCCAAAGCACTTTGTATTAGATAACATTGCTATTTATAAATGTTCATTTCCTCACTTACCTGTACCACAAGTACACCTTGACTTTTGGCTTGGCCATGAGACTGGTTTTAGGCAATGGAATACCATGGGAATGACTAACCCAAGACTTGAAATGTGCTTGTATGGTTGAACTCACTCTCTTGTTCTCTGCCATTGTCATGAGAACATTTTCAGACGAGCCTACTGAAGCCAAGAAGAAGATCGGAGTCTCGTGGAGTAGAGTAGAACCAAGCCTGGGCCAGTCTACTTAGCAGATCATCGACCGACCTCAACAGGTGCATAAATTCAATATTGTTGTATGCCACTGAAATTGTGTGATTGTTACACAGCATTATTGAAGCAATAGTTAACCTGTACACATAGGTTCAGAGGTAGGCATATTTTAGCTCATAGGCAAGTGCCTAGGCTGAGAGACAAAATGTGTGCTTTAGTACAAAAAGAGCTTTTCCTTTGGTTGCTATGGCTTTTGTTTTAACTAAAAAAGATATGATTGGCTTCACCAAATTAATTTTGCATCATAGGTCTTCAAAATCACAGAACAATACACTAGGGTGTGTATTAGAGGTTATTTTACAAATAAGGAGTTAACGACTCTGTGAAACTGACTTGCCCAAGGTCACACAACTAGAAGTGGTAGAACCAAAGTGATGACCCAGCTCTCTCACTTCCAGTCTAGGGTGTGAGCAATCTCTAAGTGCTTTGGAATCTTCTTTTGCTATAGATAAGAGCTATTTTGTGTGCATTTAAGTAAACATTGATTTTTTTTAATGCCCAGATAGTATATTCTAAATTTTGTGACAGAAAACAAAGAAAAGCAGAAATAATTGATCCCTAGGGATGGGATGGCCTAGAAAATATGAAAAAAAAATGAAAGATCAAGATCAGAAACTGGAAAGAAAGTTTAGAGAAAATTACAAAGACCAGAGATAATGAAAAGGATGCTGTCTCAAAGGCTCTGAGCAGGGCCAAAGGTTCTTGAGGGCATCTGACTTAGGATGAGTGGTTTTTGGCTTGAACTTTAAGGTCAAATCTGCAGAAATACAGAGATTTTGTTGTCTCCGAGATGAGGGCTGAAATACACAGTCTGAGTTTAGGACAACAACAATCATATGCCAACCAGGAAAGGATGGGTGTTCAGCAGAGACAGCTGAAATAGTGAGTGAAAGTTATCACCATGGGAAAAGGAGATATTGACTGGCACAAATGGGCTTTGTTCTAGCGAGAGACATATGGTGAGACGGTGGGGACAGGACAGTTTATTTCCCAACTCCTGCAATGGGACATTTTTGGATTTCCTGGATTACTAACAAAGGGTCCATGCTGCATCCAGGAAGGCTTGACCAGAGAGCAGGAGAATCAGCGCTAGGGAACACTTTGGGAATTATTCTTAAATCCTGTCTAGTGCATCTGTGATAGTCTTGACATTAGTTGGGTACAAATTAACACAGGAATAGGAACAATAGAATCTAATTTTTTCTCCCCAAATAGCATCTTTGTACCTTGCGATCTCTGTTACAGTCCTTGCCTGTTCTGCTCATTCTGATTCCTCAGATTTTCTCAAAGGCTGTGTGGGATTTTGATTATAGGGAGGATACTGAAGAGATTAAAGGGGAAGAGCAACAAACTCAACATCACAACATAAAGAAGAGAATATGGATGGGGGTGTATCCAGCTATTCTTGCTAAGTGTCGGGAACTTGTGCACTTTTGCCCTGAGTTTTGTCAGACTATTACTGTCCAAAGAAGACATATCACCAAATAAACCTGACTACAATATTATGCTGTTCAGCTATCACCAGAAAATACTCAAAAATGTTGGGAAGGCAGGATGGAGGGGATAGAATGAACAACAGTTACATGTTTTCGGAAGAGAAATTTGATAGTGACCTGATAACCTGAGAACCATGCACAAGAGCTAACCTCTATTCTGCATCTGCTCCCTTCAAAATGTTAAGTATCTGTTAACAATGAATGGGAAGATGAACAGAGATCTGAAAATTCCATCTACGGTACAACCACTTATGCATCACTAGTTTGTAATAAGCATAATTCTACTCTTATAGTTAATTGGGTTGTATTGGATTTTTTGCTACACATAAAGCTGTTGCACTGATTCAAAGGGACATGCTTTGGTGACTAATAGATCTGAATCTAACATAATTATAAATAGCCATTGATTTTAATTTCGTGGCTAGTTAATAGAAAAGTATGACAAAAACTGTTCCTGAAGACCTCTTTTGGATGGTTATTTTAGGGTTTGAAGAGTCCACAATCAAGGAATTTACATAAAAATTATCTAAGAACTACTTTTTGCCTTCAGTAAATATAAAGTTTAATGGGTGAAATAGACATTTAAACAAATAAATACAGCACAGTGTGATACATATAAAAATAAAGTTATATACAAAGAAGAGAAAAGGATAAAGAGGAAGGTATTGTATGAGGGATGGAGTGTGAGAATATTTTTAAAAGGCTTCAGAGAGGAGGCTGTCAGTAGCAGCAAGGGCCTTGCAGTGGAGACCCTGATATCTGAGACACAATGATGAGAATTAAAAACTTTACCTGAGGATTACGCCAGGAATGCTAGAAGGATTTACTGATAGAAAATTGCTTGTAAAAATAAATGAAAACAATAACAACAAAAAAGAAAACAAAAACAAAAAAATGAAGGAAAAAAGGAAATAGTTTAATATAATTCATCATTAAATAGGACTAAAGAGGAAAAGCATAGGATTAATCTTCATAGATGCTTAGAAAGCCTTTGGCAAAATTCAACACCCATTCTTAACAAAAACTCTTGAGAAAATGGGATATATCTTTAGCTATATATATAAAATATGTTCATGCATACCTATATCTATCTATATATAGATATAAATACATACACATACTATTATAGTGTATAGATACTATAACTATATAGTTGTATATGTATACATATATACATAAACTGTAGTATACACTATACTATATTGTGTACATATATATACTATACCTACAACTAAAACTATACAAATATATATATTCATATGTAATAAAAGGAAAGATGGATAAGTTGGACTACTTAAAAACAAAAACAATATGCATGGCAAAAAAAAGGCAAAGGCAAATGATGAAGCAGTTGAAAATATTTACAACATATATTACAGATAAAGGGCTAACATACCTAACTGATAAAGAACTTAGAAATATTGAAGATAAAAAGTTGAAAAATGGGTCAAAGGCATGAATCAATGATTCACAAAAAAGGTACAAAAATAACTCTTAAACACTTGAAAAACTATCAAATTTATCCATAAATGCAAATAAATGCAAATTAAAAATTTACTGAGACATCATTTCTTCCCCATTTAATTGTGAAGAATTTCAAAATTTTAACAATATTTTCTATAATTAAAGCTTTGGGAAAACATGCACGCTTATATACTGATGAAGGGGTACAAAATGGTGCCGCCACTATGGAGAGAAATTTGACCATATCTCACAAAACTACACATTCGTTTATTCTCTGACCTAATAATTCCTCTTCAGGAATTTACCCTGAACTTCTGCCTGCACAATACCAAACTATATATGCACAAGGTTATTCTTGGCATCAATATTTGCAAAGTATCTAAATGTCCAAACATAGGAGATTGGTTACATAAACTATGGTAAATACACAAAAAAGAGTAATGAGCAGTTGTAAAAACAGGAAAGAAGAATATCTCTACCAACTGATACAGACTAATTTCCAGAAGATATTATTAAGTGAAAAAAGCAAAGTGCAAAGAACATCTAATATGCTACCTCTGTGTAAGAAAGAAGAAAAAATAAGAAAAAATGTTGTATGTGCCCATTTTTACAACAAGAAACACAAGAAAGATAAACAAAGAAACAGTGCACTTGAGGTCAGGAGTTACCAGCAGACCAGCCTGGGTAACATGGCAAGACCCCATTTCTGCAAAAAAAAAAAAAAAAAAAAGTATCCAGGCATGGTTGTGCATGCCTGTAGTCCCAGCTACTCAGTAGGCTGAGGCAAGAGGATCACTTGAGCAAAGGAGCTTGAGGCTGCAGTGAGCTATGATGACACTACTGCACTCCAGCCTGGGTGACAGAGTGAGGCCCAGTCTCAAAAATAGAAAAGAAAAAAAAAAGAAACAGTGGAGTTGGTTATTTATAAGGATTGGGAATGAAACAGCATAGAGGGA